ATTTGTGGCATGTAGTATGTGGAGGAAGTTGTCTGTAGATGTTAGCATGTGTTGGGTAGGCATATACGGAGTTATGATGTGGTTTACTAAGGTCTTTGGCAGTCTTGTATATAGGGGTAGGAATTTGTGATATGATTGGCCGTAGAGGGCTGTTCTGTTTATGAGTTTTTATGGTTCCGTAGATATATCCAGGCGCATAGTCTCCTATGATAGGTTGGAGAACCTTTTCTTTTGCTTGTTTGTTGACAGTGGCGATCAATTTATTGACGTCTGTTTTTAGTGTTTTTGTCGGGTCAGCTCTATAATATTTTAAGTATTTATATACAAGAGTTTTGCAAGATTACGTAAAAATGTTTTAATGCATTTGGCACTGACCTAAGAAATATTCTAAACTATCAGTTGTCAATCTGTGTTCCATGGCTCCTTTCAGGTGGTCTGTGGAAAGGTTGTATAATGATGGAAAGGAAGCAGCAGCATAGGTTATAGATCTAACAAGATTGAAATAAAATGTCCAGACTGTCTGTAAACAAGATCATTTGAGAATCACTGTTTTAATCTGTTGGGATTGAATATCTGTTGTGAAATGTGTGTGTGTGTGTGTGTGTATGTATGCCATGAGGATAGATACTTTAATTACTGTATGCATAATGTGCTTTCTTTAGTGAATTGTCACTGTCTTTTATGAAGTATACATAGTTTTGTTGTTATATATTTACTGCAGTTTTTACTCTGATGTTAATTTTATAGCAAACAACATACATGATCTCTGTTTCCAGGTTATAAATGTTTATTACTCAACGTTTAACCTTACAGCCTTTTCAAGAGTTTTTTCCTCATTTATATAGGATGCCAAAAATAGAGTAATCCAGGTAGTTAAATGTAAAAATACTTTTTATTTTCTGTTTGATAAAAGTTTTATGATACCTTGACATGTATTAGATATAGGAGTTAAATGTGAAAGTATAAGAAAATCAGTTTATCTAGTGGAGCATCTAATATACATGTTAGAAACATCCAAATAGGTAGTCTGTACAGTTTCAAGAAAACTCTACTAACAGAGAATCATGGTAAAAAAAAAAAAGTGATTGTTCAAAACATGTTTGTGAAATAAAACAATCTCTAATTAGAAGAGGAGGAGGAAAAGAAAGGTGATGGGTTAGAAGCTTCTGCCTAAGATTTAGCAGAGAAAGAGAGAAAACTAGTTTCAGGAGCTTAATTGAAAACATTTAGAAGGAAACAGTTGGAAGTTTGATGATGACATATAAGGTGTGATTGTCCCTGTGGGTTAAAGGATCATCCCTTGTCTACCCTTGAACAGACAAAAGTCAAAACGAAAAAAAGATTCTCGCATTAATTTTGTTTATGACTGGATTTTACTGCAGTAAAAAAAGACAACTTAAATTAATGAGAGTGTGGAGACAAGTCAAAGAAAAATTCACAATATTGCTATTTTATTAGCTACATAATTCAATGGTACAATGTACCTAATGAAATGTATTAACTCATATTGTATAAGACATTTGTATGATATCTTATATTCTTTTTATATACCTACATTGTAAAATAAATCATAAAGACATTGTAACCTTAAGGTTTACTCTATTTTTTATGAAGTATTCTAATGGAGAGTTTGCTGAAATTGACTTTTGCTAATCTTTCTAAGTTTTTAAGAAACCTACAAGAAGATGAAATATTTAATCCAAAGTTTACTCTTCAGAGCTTGCTCTCAAAGAAAATGGGTCCACATAATAAAAGCATATTTAAAAATCAGAATTTCCTAGCTCAACACAGATTGCACAAAAAAACCATAAGTTAAAGGTCTATTATTGTTCATTTCGTATTTTACTGAAGATTCCATATGTTAGTGAAATTTCTTTTGAGTTGCAATAAATTATTTGAGACAAACTATATTAATTAGTTATGAACAAAAAATCTTCATATAAAAATACACAATACCAAAACCAGGGGTCATATATATCTTAAAACGTTTAATTTTCATACAAATTTCTACCTTTTCTGTATTGCTCTTATTGATGTTTGGCACTCTTACTTTGTAGGTAAATTGAACTTAGTAAGATTTGTAACTTAGTGTTCTTGTCAGACTACAGTTTTTGTGCAGTTCTATTAGAATATTTATTTTTTATTATCAATCATAATTGCTTTGGGTGGAGATATAATAAGTAATAACATTTTAGTGATGTCTTCTGTGTAAAAAAAAAATTTACACAAACACCTAAAATATACATGCCATAGTTAAGTTGTAAATACAAAAGGTTGAGTATGTCATATTAAAATGATTTTGAATATGTAAATCAGCAAGTTACATGAAAATCATAGCCAATATAAAATCATAATGGAATGGTGTGTATCGGAGCTAAATTTTGACATTGATGTTTCATGTTGGTTTGATGCCACTAAAAATTGGTTGCTTCTGGAAAGGGTATGTAACAGCACTTTCCATGCAAAATATTCTGATTCTTAAACCACAAAGCTGTGTTCTGATCAGAAGTTTTAGAATTTTCCAAGATGAGAGATATCCTTCTCACTTAATAGCATTTCAAAACAGAAGAATATGAATCCACTTGGAACACTAGGACCATTCAGAAAAAGGCTTGCAAAAAAGTATTCGAACTGTAGTAAGCAAAGTGTTGGATTTTTTAATGATATATAACATAATCAGAAAAGATCTCCATCTGGAAAAGCAATACAGATCACATTTATACAGGTTGCTTCTGCAACATATTTGTTCAAGTGTCACATACCTCAAGCAGCTGGAAATTGAAATTGGTATTCTTGTTATTCCATATAAGTTGTAATAGACAAGTTACTTTACAAAACTCCTATGGGTTTCTATATGATTGGACTGTTGAAATGGGTACTGGGAAACTGTCGTCCTCATACATTAGATTGATTATGGAAAGCAGTGTTTTGTGGTCATGACAGCTTTATGATAGATTCTTTTGCAGTGGAAAATATGCTGCAGAACTATTGTCAAAATACGTGGTCTTCAAATAGAGCATGACCAGATGTGGCCAGAAGGACTGTAATGAAGTGGTGAGGCTCCAAAATTGTTGTAACATAACATACTCAACCTCTGCATGCAGTTGACACTGAATTAATTTGTTCCTTTTTTTTCTACTGATATTCTAAGCATCAAGCTAATAGCAACAATCTTCAAGTTAAAACAGCAATAAAACTTAAATCAAGTACAAATATCTAAAATCAAATATTGCTTTTGCGACTGCAAAAGCACGACATCTGTGATTGTATCCATGAGTTAGAAAAATGGTATGATTTTAGTATTTACTGACGGAAACAGTTTTCATGTCTAAATATTAAATTCAGACTCATTTAAACAATGATTAAAATTGTTTTAATTATTGTAAACTAACTAAACTTTGTTAGTATTTACATATCAAATTAAATTCTGTAACATTATGGAAGTAATTATATCTTAATTGTCCTAAGCTTGCCAAAAATATTGTTAACAGTGAGGTACCCAACTGATAAAAAATGCATTCTAATCTTTGTAATTAGATTCATAAGAAAAGTATATTTAATTAGCTATATATACTTGTTATTAGGTTGAATTTTGTTACACTCAAATAGGTAGCTTACTTTGGTTAGAAGTTAATATTGAATAAACTAAAGTAGAAATTGAGGTCAATGTTTGAATATGAATACTCTGAAGTCAGTTCTGGGATGCAGTTTTTATGGATTTTTTGTGTGGACTGTTTTAATCTAGTAGTTATATGAAATTAATACAAATATGCATTATTCTGAAATGTGTTTGATAATTCCAAACGGGAACAAAAAGTACTTAAAGATTTCCTGAGAAATTCTTAAAAATTACTGTTTGAAAATTATAAGCCAAATAAGAAATGAGGTTAAATATATTGCATATAATATATGTACAAAAGGGTTTTGAGAGCAATTTGTTTTGTTGGGAACTGAAAACTGAAATAAAACACTTTCCTGAAGTATGTAGAAGACTCATGTGCCTCCTAATAAGTGTCTTGTAATGCAGTACAATGGAGGATGTTTATCCATTTCATGACCACTTGATAAAATGAAATCCCCAGGCTAAAAAGAAAAAACAGGAAATATGTGTTTTTTTAAAACTCCAATTTACACTGCTAGCAAGCAAATTAAGCTGTGGAGAATAGAAGGAAAATCTTTGCTTCAGAGGTTTGAGGCTTATGAAGCTGATGGAAAAGTTCTTTACAGAAACTCATCTTCTGTAAGTATGAACATGTGACAAAACTGTTTTTGTTTGTTAATGTTAGGAGTTAAATAACGGTTTTATCTTTTTGCATGTATGTATTTCAATTGTGAATATTCACTTTGAAGTGTTATATTCCATTTTTATGAGTTTTATGGTACACCTGTACATGTATTTTCAAGGTGGATTTATCTTTTTTCATATATGTATTTCAATTGTAAGTACTCACTTTGAAGTGTTATATTCCATTTTGATCAGTTTTAAGTTACATCTGTACATGTGTTTTCAAAATGGATTTTTTTTACATACACATATTTCAATTGTAAGTGCTTACCTTGAAGTGTTATATTCCATTTTGATCAGTTTTAAGTTACACCTGTACATGTGTTTTTAAGTAATTTCTGCCTTTTTGTTAAAGCTAGATTGAATGGTAAATGATCAATGAAAGGAATTACTATATTGCTTCCTCCAGATAGATGTAGAGCAATAATGATAAAGGAGATTTTTAAAATCTTTGTAGCAAATAGTTTTTAAGAGTTTTAATTGTTTAATATAATTGGGTTTGTTGTTTCATGGTAGCATTATTTTTTAATCTTTAAGTAGTTTCTTTTTGTATGGCATTCTTGCTGAGAATATAGTCTGTTACCTGAAGTTTTCCGGGTTTTTATACAAACAAATGACCATAATGTTTAGAAATTATGTTTCTGCATTTTTGCTTTGTAGTCTTAAGAGATTATAGATGATGATGAGTACTTTTCAAAACACTTTTGTTAGGACTTAGGATCATATTGAATTAGTGTTTTCCTAATTCTCTCTAAAGATGTTTATTGCTCCTTTCTAATCAAAATCATGTGTACGAAGAACTAATGTATTGACACTTTAAAATGTCTGTATAAATAACATTCAGATAGATGAGCAGTTCATCTGTGAATTTATATCATTTTACAAACATACTAAAGCATATTAAAATTGTGTTTCCAGTGTTGTTTAGAATCTAATGACTGGAATTAGATGATTCTGTATTGTTTAACTCCATATAGCTTATTCTTGTTTTGACCTGAAAATGATATTACAAGCTCTAGATTAACTTTTTAAAAAACTAGCACATTTAGGTGACTGTAATAGATCCCTAGCCCAAGATTAGTCACACAGAAAGTTTCTAGTAACAAAACAATATGTACACAAAAATAATGTTTTTCAAGACTTGACAGTTACAAATATACCTATAACACCATTAAAATGTTCAAAATCTAAATATTATAAGTAATTACTAAGCAATATTTAATCTATTTAGTAAATAATTTATTTTCAAAAATAAAATACATATATTCAGAGAGGCTTTGGATTGGTAAGATACTGTGATTGCAGAGTCTTTGAAACAAGAAATTGATGTGGACACACAGAGAAAAAAATATTTTCTTGATTGGTTTTAAATTACTAATTTTCCTTTTTTCCTTTGTAAATAGAAACTCAAACGTACTTAGTTTGATAGATTAACATTTCCAAGTAAAAAATCAAATCTGTGAGTGTGCATATATAAAAGTCAAAAATGAAATGAATACTTGATATATTTAACTGCTAATCCCTTTCGGCTAGTGTGTCATTTGGTAGTTAATTTGAATACATTTCTTACTTGTACTGTGCTATCTGGTGGATGTTAATGGTTAGAACACATTCATTTTTACATTAATATATTTCTGAAGAAATAGCTTATTGGTATTAAGATTAGCTCAAGTTTATTCCAACAGTAAATTAATACAATATAATTTTTCAGTATGAAACAACAAAACTGAAAGTATGGTATGATTGGGCATCTGATACTTACAGTTAAAGCATTATTCTTGTGTGAGGCTAGGCATGGTCTAGTAGCTGGTATACCAGACTGTGGATCTGATTCTTGTCATTTGCAGAAGAAAAAACAAGTCTGATAAGATTCCTGTATTTGATTAAATAGCCCAAGAGCTGGCATAGGTGCTGTTGCCTAGCTGCCTTCCCTCTAGTCTTTTAGTTCAGAATTAGGGGCAGCTAATGTAGGTAGACTATTCTTGTGTAGCTGTGTGTAAATAACCAAAAACAAATATCTTTTTACCTCCTTTTGAATTTTCATTAAGTTGTGTTTTTTAAGTCCTTTTGCATAATCCTCTCATGGTTTATTCCTGTTCACCCAAAACAAATGTCATGTCAAAGGTGTCTTTAATGTAGTCAGTATAGTTATTTATTGTAACGGGCAATTGTCATTCTCATATTGCTTTTTCTTTGTGTCACATATAACATTATGGTTTAAATCTGTTGACCCAGAATTTGAGAAAGATTCGAGCTTTTGTAAATTCTATTTCAAACTTTTAAATTACATAGAGATATTGTATGTTTATCTGTTAAGATTATTATTCTCTAATAAAGTTAGAGTTAAAGAACTACATATGAATAGAATTATTTTGATATGCTTTCTAGTATACAGCTTGGAACCTGGCAGAACGTAATAAGTACCTGTCAGCCACTGTTCGTGTTCATTCAAATAGTCGCGACAACACTGTTGTGGAACTACTCGATGTTCAGAAAAAGGAAGAAGATAAGGAAATGTAAGTTATGCTTCAAAAATATAGAACAATTGTCTTTAGTACCTAATGTGAGAATTTATGCTAAAAATCAGTTGATTTAAATATTTAGGCATTTATTTTTTAGAATACTTCTCACTTTTTTTATGATGTCTATATTTAAATCACTTATCTTGTTGCTTTAGTATCTGTAATTTTTATTTAAAATGTGGTATACAAAATTTTCACAAATTACACTGATAACTTAGTATAAAAACCATCAAATTGGTTTATTATAATCAAATTAATATGACTTGTATAACTTTTAAAAATGTATTAATGGTTCAAAATATTTGTTTAATGAAATGTAGTTGGTGTACAGATTTTTTTTGTTATCTTTGTAATTTCACCATAAAAACAGTACTACTCAATTGCAGAGGTGCAAAAGTTCTGTATGTGGATGCCAATTTTGATAAATAGTATGACACTAGTTAACCAATATTTCATGGAATCATCTGTTTTTTTATAACTTTTGATGATGGTTTTATAGAAATATTTGGAAAACTTGAAAACATTGTAATTTAACTTAACTTTTTATTGAAGTTCTGTCAGTTATTACTAGTTTTTGGCACAGCACTTATAATGTAATATATACCAGTCAACTTTATGTTATTTCACTAGACCTAGCACATACACCTGTATTCATTAATGAATTAATTAGTAAAGTGACAGAAAAAGATTGAAAAATTAGCGTATCTTATACAGGGATGTAGATGATCATTTGACTGTGATCCAAGAAAATATGAACAAAATTTTGTATATTTTTGTATTTCTATCTTGCCAAAGACTGTGAACATTGTTTATTCATTTAGGTTCTTTTTTTCTCTCATTGTTTGTTTTTCATTCTTCCCACTTCAAAATTAATACTACAGGAAAGAAGGAGCTGAAAGATTGTTCAGATTTTTAATTTAAACATTGAGATATGCCCATTAAACAGTTACGTGCTACACTAGTAATAATCATACAATTTTTATTGTTTCTGGAAACAACTTAGAGAAGCCACCAATGTTTAAAGCATGTATATTTTAATAATTTTGAAAGTGTTATGATTTATTTCCCACATATTTTAATGAGTTAGTTTTGAATTTTTATATATTTGTGATATAGAAATGGAAACATTGTCAAGCTGACAAAGGATGAAAATATTCATCCTCAGAGGGAAAATTTTGAAGTGTTTCTTCAGACATTAATTAGTCAAGTTCTTGACCCAAATTTCATTTCAGAAATTATTAAAGAAAATGGTAAGTGTATGCTATTTTTTAAATATTATTTTATAACATATGCAACATTTAATCTCTCATGTTTGTGTGTGATTTCTCTCAATTGTTCTGTGAAGGATTCATGGTTTGAGTTTGAAATTTTGAAGACAGTTATTTTACTTTTTGTTCTTGAAGATTGGTTTAATTTACGTTTAATGACAATGGCATCAGGAATCCCAGTGAAGCTGTAAAACTTGTTTTTCAGAAACTTAACCTTTAAACCTATAGGATGGATTAAAGAGTCTCTAACAATCCATAACAGCATGCCTTTAATGCTTGAGCCTGCAACCAAATGTATATTTACAAAAATAAAAATTCTTGTTCTTCATTTAAAATGTAAAATTTAGTTGTAGCTATCTACTTGTGCCCTGAAGCAGAAACTCATTATAGCCAGTGACACATGAATAGTCTTGATTACATGGTAAGAAATAGTATCTTCAACTGTTAGGTGGACAATTATGTTTGAAATATATACTTAATCAATTATATCAGACATTTTCCTAACAATAGCCTGGTTTTGGTAAACTTAAGATTCTTAATTGTCATATTTAACCGTTGTTTTTGTTTGCAACAACAGATACTGCTCGAAATATATTATTATTGTTATTAAATTGGTGTTTGGTTTGTGTGTAAATGTTGGCAAAAGTAGGTAGATCACGTGTGTAACTTTTAAGGCATTAAGTTTTCCTTCTTTGTTATAGTGTGATTAGTACTAGTTAGATATATACACTGCTACTGCTCCTTTCTCTAATCATGAAAACTATCCACAGATCACTTGTAAGGAAATCTATGGACTGCAAATTGAGAACTATTTAGCTAAAGTATTTTTAAAACACATTTTGTTGAGTAAATAATGAATGGAAGAAAGCAGTTGTCAAAATGAAATTTTATAATAATTTGGCCTAAAAGATAATATAATTTTTTACTTAATGATAATATGTATGTTTGAACAAAAACTACTAGATTGCAGTGTTATTGTTAAAATATTGTGTCAAGCTGTCAGTAAACTTTACAACTATGGATGTGGCTTACTACCATTACTAATTATTGTTTGTATTGTAGGTTTATTACATCATATTTTTTTTTTTTACACAATAAACAAATTCTGCTATTGATTAGTAAAAGTATAAATTATAAATGTTTATGAATTTGTGTAAAAACTTCTATCAAATGCTGATGATGTAAGAAACAACCTTAAATCAAGAGCGTCTCATATTTGGTCCTAAACTGAATCCATGTCTGAGTGGAAAGAACAAGGACATATAGTTTGTAACATGTGCACAAGAAGATTAATTGATGTAAAAGCATTAATGTTTACCATATTGAGTTCTCTGTCAATTTTAGAATGTTAGTAACAATAATAATGCTGATTTATTTTATCAATATTGTTGTTTGAATGATTTACTTATCACATCATTTTAATTAAATGTAAAAATGATGCCTATTTTGTTAACCCTTTTATTGCTAGTGTGGACTTCTTTACAGGAATTATTAATAAACATGAAATTGGAATAGCTGTAGGCTCTTAATTTTTAGTGCACTTATTTTTTTTATTTGGAAACTAGAATATAAATACAAAAAAAAATACAACTATTTTATTGATTTCAATTTTGGCTACCAAAAATTTAAAACAATTAATTAAACTAGGTTTTCTCAACATTTTGCACCTCCAGACCCAATTATTTATTTGACACAATAGTAAAGGGCAGTATGTATGTAATTGATGGCTTGTTAGTATAAGGTAGTAACAGTTGTCCCAGTCTTCCAGTGATCCAGCAGTATGTCTGCAGACTAACATCGCTAGAAACCAGGTTTTGATATCCATGGTGGGAAGAGCACAGATAGTCCATTGAGCAGCTTTGTGCTTAACTTAAAAGAAAAAAAAAACAGTTGTCCCAGCTTGTGGGGGCCCATCTGCACATTTCTTTGCTCAACTGTGGGCTTTTGAGAAATGGAACTAAACAAATTAGTCTTTAGAAGAAAATATAGCATGATGAGTTAGAAATAATAATAAAATTTAAGTTACCTATTTATTATTATTTTTTTTCCATACCATGTCTTTGATAATTATTGAGCTGAGTTAAAAATAAGCCACTGCTAAACTGATTTAAGGATTTGACCCACTTATTCCTTGACAGAACTTTTACAAGTCTTTTAAGACAGTTGGTGAAGCACCATATTTGTCATGATAGCAAAGCATTATTGCCCTTTGAAAAATTATTTTAAACCCATAAAGTAACAGACAGTGCTAAATTGTAGATTATTTGATTTCAAGTTGTGCACAAACTTGAACTCAGAGAAAATTGAAAAAAAAATAAAAAACCTAGAAGAGTTGGGGAAATTTGTGCCCTCCCCCCTTTTTTTATTTAAAAATCTGCATTCTCGTACAAACCATGCTGCTTAGCTTTACCATTTAGTCATATGTTTTATCTAATCTTGGTTGGTTACTTTATTTTATTTGGTTATAATTATCCATTTCTTAATAATTGATTAATGGCTATATCAAATATTTTATGAATAAAAATTTAACATTTTATTGATTACCATCAAGTTGTAGTGTCTTTATTTGAAGATCATTTTTCTGCAGTGTGAAATATTTATAATCAGATTACATGTCAAACTACTGATAATTAAGTAGAATTATGAAGAAATATTTAAATTTTATTGTATCTTGTTTATGAAAGTTTGGAGTTGTGTGTGTGGAAGTCAGGGAAACAGCTCCGGAGAGAATATGTCCATCTTGCATTGCCACATTATATTATGTTGTTGTTGTTTCTTTGACATCCTTTCAGCATCAAACCATTGAAAAGCATAGTTTTTTCATCAGAGAAAGTAGTAGAATAATAAGTATTTAATTATACTTTCATTTTCTCCAGATGAATACTTCCTATCTCATGTGAAGGGAATAGAGAAGATAACAATGGATCAGAAAAACCTCCTGTTTCACCAGGGGTCTTGGGAGCCTGAGTTGTTGCAGTGTGCTGAAATGTATCCTTGTGTTAATGTAATGCCTCGAAAGGATGCAGAGGTGGTTAACTGTCAGGTACTGCCAACATTTTTAAGAGTTGAAATTCTGTATATAAATTTAGGCCTACTTTTTAATAATTATGATACTAGTACACTAAATAATTTTTTTATTAATTTAAAAAATGCATCTAAGAACACAGAATAATAACATACACAAAGACAACATGTCTTTAACTATTAATTCAACTAGCTTTTCAACTAAGATAAGGGGCTTGAAATAGTTCTGTTATCTGCTCGAGCTGAACACCAAAAGATAATCTTTCAAACTGAAGATGAAATTCACAATACTCTGTACTGAAATTAACTTTTAGCATGGGCTCGGTCCCTGGGACTGATTTCGTAACTATTTTGTGCTTGTTATAGTTTTCATGCTATAACTTTTAAATTAGTAAGCAAACGTTAATGAAATTTGGCAGATTATCAGTAAACATTACAATACTTTCATACGCAAAATATCAAAC